GATTCCTGTCTTGCTTTGAGCATCCCTGGGTGCCTGAAGGGCCCTTGTCCTGGGATGATGGCAACTGAGGTGGATTAATGAGCTCAAAGCCACTTAGTCTGCTGCTCTGAGGACTCCCTGGCCGGCATCACACCTGTCCCAGTATGACTTACCTTTGCATCCTCCGGCTTTGTCAGGCTGCTGCATTCCCCCCCATACCCCACTCACCTGCCAAACGCTGCTGGCAGCAGCAGCCCAGAGGAGTGCCGTACAGCCAGGCGGGAGCTCTCATTTCACGCCGTGCTGAGTGAGAATGCAATCAAAGCACAGGCCTTATTGACATTGTCAAATTCTTCTCTTTCAGGGACTGGGTTGTTGCAGAGACTGTAAAGACACAAAATAATTAGTCACATCCATATGTTTAAGCACATGGTGGAAGAAAAAGTATCTTTTATAAGGACAGTAGTAACCATCTTGCCCATCTAAAATCTGAGATGAGAAACACATTGCTTCCAGGTAACTAGAAATTCAGATTTTGATCTTCTCTCTCCACCTCTTTTTTTTTTTTTTTAGAAGCTGCTATCCTGCCATGGCCAAAAAACCTGTGCTATTCTCAAAAGCACCAAGAGGAGATTAAAAGAGGACCAATGCTTTGTTCCTCAAGAAACTCCTCATGCTTCCAAAGCCAGAAGGAACCTCTTTAATGAATTCACTGCCTGTGAAGAGCAAGCCAGCCCTGGTGTAGACAGCTGGGTCTTGCAGACTCTAGGATTAAAAGATGTCAACACCATTGATGAAACTTCAGCTAACTACAGTGCCCTGTCCTCAGACCTTGGAAGAAACACGTACTGCCTGAGCACTGGTGAAACAATAGACTATGACCAGTGTGAAGGAGCGGCAGCAGCATATAGCTGCAGCCACATCCCTCCAACTAATAGCAGTACCCATCCATGCAGTGAGGACTCTCCCTTCCTTCCCCAGATTTCTTCAGCACCATGTGTCTCCTCATCAGTTCCAAGCATTTCCTCCCTCCCAGCCTATGGGTTGCCTTATTTGACTGGCAATTTGTCACCCAACAAAACAGAAGTGGCCTTCACAACTTCTCTAAGTCCTCACCGCAATGTGAGAACGCACACCTTCCACCAAGGACAAGCTTTCGTGCGCAGGGATGATGATGGAGGATGGAGATTCACCTGGGTGCCCAAGCAGGCTGAATAATGCACCTACATGAAGGGTCAGCCATAGGGGATGCAGGAGACGGACATTTCATCTTCTGTTTGAGACAAGTTCAGGCATCAAAAATGAGCCCTTCTGGGCTCCGTTAAATGCTACTCTGTCACCTTCCCACTCCTTATTCTCTCCCAGATTTTCACAGGTGTGGCTCCAGATTGCACTTGGACAATTATCTGCCCCAGACCAGGTATACATATTGGATCCATGTCTCTTGTGCCTGTGTTGAGATACCTGCTTTGACATGCTTCACAGTTTTTCTGTCATCAGCTATTCCTTGTTAACTGGTAGTTTCCACGCCGGAGTGCTTTCGGTTTGATGATCACTCCCACATGCACCAAACTGAAAAGCATTTTGGGAATACAGTTTGGAAACAGCACCTCTCTCACAGATATCCACAGATGACAAAGGAGGCTTAGGTTGGAGGCTGAGGATCAGCAGTGGCTAAGCGTTGTGTGTCTCTCTTGGCTACACACTTTGCCTCAGATTAAGGCAACTGTGGGTATTTGTTAACGTGCCACACTAGGCTGGCTTACCTGCAGTCACATGGTGCTATCATATTCTTTGATGATGCCTCAAAATAAACAGGATTTGCTTCTATTGCCTGGAAGCTACTTAATTACAAGTGATTCAGCAAGTTCAGGGCATTTTCTTCTGCTGTGATTAAGGGACTAATGTATTTACTACACTGTGTTTTAAAGGGATTTTATCTGTCCTATAAAACGAGTTTTAAAAGTTTGAGCCCTGGAACAGGAACTTGAATTGGAGGTGCTGTAACAACACTGCCATCACCAGCCAAGGCCCAGGTCCCAGTTTAGTAGTGGCAGAAATTTTTTCATCTGTGGGTAATTACACTCAGAGCACTACTTTGTTCTGCAAAGGCTGCATTCCCCTTGCCTGCAGTGTCCCACTGTCTTTTGATGGATTTTCTTCCATGTTTACCTGACTGATGTTGGAAGCCCTTATAAAGAAGAGCCACTTCTGCCTTCATAAGCCATTTCTGTGGTTTCAGTGGGGCTTTTTTGCAATATCAAGAGCTGCGCTTGTGAAACTGGAACTTTTCTCTCTAAGGAACAACTTCTTGACCTCTTTGTCCTGATCTCTGAGAGCACACAGAGATTTATCCGAAATCAACATCAGCTCAGAGTCAGGGCTGCTTCCTCCTCCTCCCCCCATAACCCCGTGCTTCCTATGGGAAATGTTTCTCCTGGTTTGGGGAGGCAGCATCACTTAGGGGTGAAACTGAGTCTTTGGGAACCACAGACTTCAGCACCAGCTCTTGCCTCTCCATGTCTCTGTCAAGCAGTGGTGGGCTGAAGCTACGATCATCACTACCTTGAGAATGCTTTAAAAATCTCTGGAGAGAAGGTGCTCTAGCACTGCACAGGACTTGTAGTAACACTACTAATGATATGAAGTCAACTGACATGAAGTAAGCTCACCAGTAATGTTTTGCATTACCTTTGTTTTCTGCTTTACAGCAGTTTGATTCCTAAGTATTGGAAATAGAGTGGTTTGGTTATTCTTGCTTTCAGAATGGTCCCAGTGACATTAAGGAAGGGCTTAAGTAAAAATAACCATAATTGAGGACTTCCTTCCAGTGGCTTGTTTTCCTATAGAAAACTGGATATTCTTTTATTTTTAGGGGATAAAAATACCTCCTAAATAGCCTTTGGTGCCTTAGAATTGCAGTATTTGGAATTCTCCATCAGAAGTAGTAGTGATTTCCCAAAAGACTTAAATAAACAAACTCTCTATTTCTGGGTAGTTACTTTAAAGTCAGTGATGGGCCAGACTTCCAGAACAAGCAATTTGAAAGCATTGATTGTACACATTATTGCACTGGATTTAAAACACCACCACTACCCAAAACAAACAATTCACATGGAATAAATACAAGTATTTGTTTGGGGGGTTTGTTGTAGTCAGTAAAAATGTGGCCAGCTGATGAACACCGGTCAGACAAGACCACTGTTTCTATACCACTTTTCTGCTTTTCAACGAAAGCAGAAGAAAAATCCTGTCCTACAAACAACTTATGTCTTTCTCAAGGGGTTTTCTTTTCTATTCATCTCCTCTTGCCCTACTATATAAGGTAGCACTGAAGAAAATACTCCTGGAGTTTTTATTCATGAGCGCGGTAGTTTAGAAAATACCTGACCTTAACATGAGTATGTGATGGAGACCCTGCTATGTGTGGTGTAGGCGATGAATGGCATGCAGGGAACAGACGGTGTGGCCAGAGGATTACAACCAATGCAGCTGTTGATGTTTTACAGCTGCTTTGAAAGATGTGGCATAAGTAGAGAAAGATGTATGTTTTCTAACACAATTGAATGCTTTTACTCATGTATTTCAATGCTAGGGAGTCAGCAGCAATAATAAGTACATTTGTCCTGTCAGCAAATATTAAATCAGAGGGGTTTTTTTCTCTAAAGAGAGAGAAAAAGCTTTCCACTAGTTTGAGGTTTCTTTTCCACATTTTTATGTCACTGCATGTGAAAATTTCCCCTGCAGAGAGCCAGAACAAAAGCCTCAGATCTTTGGTATGATCTCAAAGTAGGGTTTCAGTAGGAGCAAACTGATGTTTGAGCCTTTTCCAGCCTTTTGTAAAGGGGTGACTAGACCCTTATCTCGTAGCAAATAAATTATGGATATAAGTGAATAGCTCAATGAATAATCTACCTGAATCCCCTTCTTTTCCTGTGGATCCTGAATTTTACTCAGCATGAAAACGTGCCAGGGATTTCTGTCTGAGCCAGGCTTACTGGAGCTCGTTTGGGCAGAGAGCCCCATGGTGCTGCTCCTGTCAGCTGATGGGTGCTCCTGACCTGCACATGCAAACTTAAAATTCTGGTTTAGACAACTGCTTGAGCAAAGCTCTCTGTGTTAATAATGCTGCTGATCGCTGTAGTGGAGGGAGCACACAGGAAAGGAAACAGAAAAAAATCTCCAAAGCATTTTTAGCAAATAACTAAGGATGATATATTTTTCCCTGGCAGCATCATTTGAACAGGCATTTCCTGAGTTATGAAGAACGACAGAAACAAACTACTCTTTCTGTTTCTAACACCAGCCCTAAGTCAGCCCTAAGGTGAGGACTGAGACTCTTCTGCTTTTTTTGGTTTTCTATAGAATAATAAAAGTCCCATGAAATTCAGTGGATTCGTTGAGGACAAGTCCCAGTGACCAAACTGTTCCTTTGGTCAAACTTTGCTCCTGTTGCCCCAAGAAAGCCTTTACTTAGCCTCAAATAGGTTACTCACCTGTAAACTACACGATTCCTCTGAAAGACCTACATTCATGCAGGTATAATAGATGATGAGTAATAGACTGAAGACATCTTTTGGCAGATTACTGCCAGATGGTGGAATATGGAAGAAAAGCACTGGGCTGGTGCTGGTTTGACCTGCTGCATCCACATGACTTCTCAGGCCCAAAAGCAGTAAAGCTGCATTATTGTGGTGCCGCTGCTATCTTACTTGCTTTTACCTCTTGGTAGAGCTCATGACCTTATGTGCAGGCTGGGGTTGGAGCAGCAATGCTGCTACTAACATGGTACCAGTGAGGCTGAATCTAGCTCCTCACTGCGTAGGTGCACAGCCTAGATGCACCCTAACTTGAATTTGTAAACATCAGCCATAGAAACAGAGCCTTACAAACCATTTTTTTCTTCATGAAATAAAATCCTAGAAATGCTTATTTGCTTTTAGTTACTGTCCAGTTTGCATCACAGGTCTGCAAAGATATGGGAGAGAAGGTCTTGCCTGTACAAAGCCTAGACCAGGCTTTGAGATGGGGTTTCAGTCCTGGTTTGTAACTGATGATGCCTGTTTGTCTTTTTGTATCCATTCCCAGTGGCTGAAACAGAGCCACAGCCACCCCACTACTCTTGGAAAATGCAAGGTAAAGCCCAGGCAAGCCTGTGATACATTCCTATGCCACAGAGGTAGCTAAGGATCAGTAGGAATGAAGGCAAAAATGTAGAAACTAAAACCCAGTTCTTTGCACAGCCATCACAACTATGTAGCCAGGAGATCGCAGAGATGAAGAGCTTCAGCTTGGTACTGTACTTGTAACTTCAAAAACAAATCAGGCAGCTGAAATAGAGGAGCAAGAGGCAGAAGTTCTGGGTTCTGATACTGCCTCTGGTATTACGCTTCGTTTCTGTGCCTTGGTTTCTAAGGAATCCCACCACTGGACCAGTTCATAGCAATTTAACAAGAAAACATGATTCTTGCTGCTTCAAACTGCATGAGAAGTTCCCTCTTGCCAAGGGCCAGTACCAGACACATATACCTCCAGGATGGGGAAGTATGACTTGAATGTCCCAGGGACCCTGGGAGGTTCTTTGGGTAGTGGTGAACTTCATTGTCTGTAAATATCTATTTTGTATTAACATTTGTTTTATTTTTTTATTTGGAGTTTGTTTGCTATAATATGTGAATGTAACATGTGCAGCTGCACACTTTGAAACAATCCGTTTTTAGAAAGGTATGCCAATAGAAATGGAAGTTAATTTAACACTTAATATGCTGATGTTCGTGATTTTTGTGATTGAAAAAGACCATTATTATATGTAAGTGTCAATTTTACCAGTGTCATTAAGTTATGTCTAATAAAACTTAACATCTAATTAATGCAATTCTTCCTGCCCACTTCAGCATCTATTAAACGATGCAGCTGTTGCTTACAGTGCACACCACCACACGTGGCACCTACACACCTCTCTAGAGGGCTGAAAGAGATCCTCATTTCCTGCAAGCACAAGTGGCCACGCAAGGAGGTGCAATTTGTGATCGTAATAAAACAGAGGTAAAGATCTAACAGCCATGTTTTAGTCTGGGCTTGCACAGCATATTGCAGTAATCCATTATTGTTTTGAGCCAGAAATAGATTCCATGCTTCAAACTGACTAGGACAGAGGGAAGTATAGTGCTTTTTTTCCTGTTGTTTTTGCAGCATCAGGCACTCTTACTTAATAGACT